GGGGGAGAGGTTTTAGTGAGAGTTTTACGGTACTAGCAACACAATAAGGTCATATAAGTGCCGAAAAATAGAGGTGTTACAAGAGAGTAACATACATAAAAAAGAAGGAGAGATAAGGACGATGATATTTTTTAAGTGTTAGTAAGAGTTTTACGGCACTTGCAACACAATATGGTCATATAAGTGCCGAAGAATAGATGAGTCACAAGAGAGTAACATACACAAAAAAGGAGGGGAAATAAAGACGATAGATAGATGTTTGATAGGAAAGAAGAAAAAAAAACACTCGGGAGCACCCGCCAACCCCCCACTCCCCACGTACGATCTGTATCTGACGGCGGGATACTCCCCGAGTGTGGCGCACAACGTGGCAATCTGCTCGGCACATCTCTCCAGGTTGATGGTGCGGCCCGACGACTTGTTGGGGTTGTAGTAAAACTGGAACGTTTCCGACGAGTCCAGCGAGTACACCTGGCCCACAGGTAAGAAACAACAAAAAAAGCATCACTTTATAAACAAAAACTTTCCCACAGTGCCAAGAGAACCGTTGCAGACAGTCCGTAGAACAATTGATCGCTTTTAAGGACAAGCAGGCTAACCCAGATTTCAGGGGTTTCCAGAAATCTTGACCTACACCAAAAGTGGGCATTGCCCTACCTATAGGAGAAGTTTGGTTTCATTGGTGTGTATATTTGTTTGGCTATAGAGAAAACTCTCCTTGTCTTTTAAAGAAACTGAACAAGGGGCAAAACTTTACCTTTGATTTTCTCAAAACAGCATTTTTCTAGATAGCCCCCTTGTGCTTAAAAGCGACCAAACAGCAGTCGTCATTCAACATTGAAGTGTGTCGAAATTTTGACCAAAATTCCAACCAAGTTGCACGAGTTTTTTTGCTGGTTTTAAAAAAAATTTTATAAGAGTTTTACGGCACTTGCAACATAATAAGGTTATATAAGTGCCGAAGATTAGAGGTGTGACAAGAGAGTAACAAACACAAAAAAGAAGGAGGGGAGATAAAGACGATAGATGTTTGACAGGAAAGAAGGAGCAAACCACACCAGAGCACCCGCCAACCACCCTATTCTCCAGCATTTTTCCACATAGTATGATGAAATCCTACAAGCTCCCCCCGACACGACAGACTGCTAGTTCGCGACAGTTGGGAGGCTTACTACGGTAACACCAACCTGAGATTCGTACGGTAAGAAAGCGATGTTGATCTCCTTCAGCGTCTTGATGAACTTGGCACTGGTTGACTTGCACAGCTCGTTGAACGACTCATCCGGGCACGCTGGGGACATCGGCAGTGATAATAATAATAATAATAATAAATAGCATTTGTATAGCGCATGTCCCCACTCGAAAGCAAGCTCTATGCGCTTTACACTATATTATTACCCCAGCAGACCATAGAACACTCAGAAACATTCTCAGCTTCTCGGGAAGAATATAGTACAAGCAGCTGATTAAGCGCTGAAACATTAACAAACTGACAAGATCTTTCGCTATCTATAGCCGGGTACCCATTCCCACCTGGGTAAAGTGGGGAAAATTCGTGTAAAATGCCTTTCCCAAGGACACAACGTCAGGCCCGCAGCTTGAACCCCCGAACCCGCAACCCGCATCACCATTAGGCCACCGACGCCACAACCCCACGACAGCGAGTCCGGTAGCCTAACCATTAGGCCACCGACGCCGCAGTGATAAAGTCGTGAAACACCCTGGCTGACTACCCTCATCAGCTTTTAACACTCGTACACACAGACTATGCACAAAATCTTGAGAGAAAGAAACAAAATCTCCCAGCCCAGCTGACATGTAATGTGAGGCAGGCTGACAAAATGAGTTACTGCTCACAACTCTTGAATGACGGTATCCACTAAAGATTTTTTTTTAAAGTAGAGTTTTTACGGCGCTCGCAGCTGCATAAGGTCATATGAGCACCTAGGGGTGGATTTCAATAGAGAAGTCCTTACAGGGAATCAGACTTACTCTGCTCACCTCTCTAGCCTCAACAGCACAAAGTCTGCTTTGACTATCCAGGCACCCGAGAAATAGCGGGTCACAAGAGAGTGACAAACATACAAAAGAAGTAAAGGAAAAATGACGATAGTAAGGATGAGGAAAGAAAAAGCAGCAGTTCCACCTATGTTGTTCCGGCACAGTATGAGCATGACATTGATAAATCAGCCCATTTACAATTCTACTGTACATAAGAATATGTTACTATCCCCCCTTTGGGTACGGCCTAAAGGACAAAGAAGTTATGAGGAAGCGTTACCTTCGGTGAAGTACACGTGGGCAGCCTTGTACTGGGTGTTGTTGGGGTTCTGAAAGTCTGCTATCATTCCCTTGATGGACTGGTGATTAAGATGAAAAACCCCAGAAAAATCCAATTAAATTACAAAAACATAGAATAGAGTACATGATACACAATACGTCGACACATTAAAAGCCATATTTCAACAGCAGGGGGCTAGGGATGCCAGCAACATTTTAAAAAGAAAGAGTAGACCACACCAGAGTAACAACCAACACCCACAGGCCAAGACAGAGTCAGAAACAAAAATATTTTTTATAAAATAAAAAACCCATAAGTAAACAAACTTTCCTTTATCTCTTTTTGACTCTCCTCAGAAGTATCACCGATATCCTTTTAGTTTTAGAAACAGTTTTACTACGCTTGCAACACAATAAGGTCAAATAAGTTTGTTAGTTTTAGTAGAGGTTTTACTGCTCTTGCAACTGCATAAGGTCATATGAGCGCCAGAAGAATAGAGGTGTTACAAGAGAGTACCAAACATAAAAAAGAAAAAGGGGAGATAAGGACGATAGATGTTTGATAGGAAAGAAGAAGCAAACCACACCAGAGCACCCGCCAACCACCCACGGTCATATAAGTGAAGATTAGAAGTGTTACAAGAGAGTAACAAACACAAAAAAGAAGGAGGGGAGACAGAGACGATAGATTTTATATAGGAAAGAAGGAGCAAACCACACCAGAGCACCCGCCAACCACCCACACTGATATATCCGTAACTTCAGGGGAACACATTTGGACGTATCACCAATATATCGGCAAACTGAACAGCGGAACAGTGTAGACTGTTTCGTTATCTCCATTCTATTGCTTTCATGATACCAGAGAACATCAAAAATGTGAACAGAAAGCTTTCTGAATGAAAATCCTCCAGTTTGTGAACCATTTTGCTGTTTTATTTCTGTATTTCCATTACCTCAAACTGGTTCGCAGGATTACAAATAAATTACACCCAAAAAGCTTCAACTGCAGAAAAAAAAATTACGTCCTGAATGAATACCCTTCCTCCTCTTACCCCCCCCCCTTTAAAAAAAACAAACTGAGCTTTGGCTGGTGTGCCATACAGGGTACTGGGTTACCTCAAACTGTTTGCTTGTTCACCAACAGTGTATGGAGACATGCAGTCAGCATATCCTCACCTCAGTTTTTAGTTTTAGTAAGAGTTTTACGGCACTTGCAACACAATAAGTTCATATAAGTGCCGAAGATTGGAGGTGTTACAAGAGAGTAACAAACATAAAAAAGAAGGAGGGGAGATAGAGACGATAGATTTTTTATAGGAAAGAAGGAGCAAACCACACAAGAGCACCCGCCAACCGCCTACTATTCTCGCCTCAGAACTATTTTGTCCAAAGTGTACTTCAGGAACGAGGGCACTTTGGACAAAATAGTTCACAGGCGACAATATGTTAACAACCATGTAGAAAAGAAAAGAAAGCACTGATCCGTGCCCTAACATACACCAAAATAATGTTAAAAAGCAATCGAATTTTCAAGAGACTCAATAGAAACGCATTCATTTAAATCCCTGAAGAATGCAAGCGCTTGGTCATAATCAATTTTTTATTTTTTATTTTAATTCAACAAGCACAACATCAAAAGCCCATTTCATCCTTTGAAAAATCTAATAAAAGCTTATTCACGGAACAGCATAAATCCCTCGTAGAAAAGTTTTTTGGTCTTTGGGGGTTTTAATAAGAGTTTTACAGCACTCGCAAACACAATAAGGTCATATAAGTTCCGAAGATTAGGGCTGTTACAAGAGAAGAGTAATGAACACAAAAAAGAATGAGGAGAGATCAGGACCATAGATGTTTGATAGGAAAGAAGGAGCAAACAACACTAGAGCACCCGCCAACCACCCACCCTCGTGGAAAAGTTCACCAACATACCTTGTCAATAGGTGTGATTAAGTAAATGGCCTCCAGCAGTGGCAGTGGTTCTCTCCTCTTGTTGATGTCTTCCACCACTGAAACAATTTTGGTGTTTTTTAAAGTTTTAGTAGAGTTTTTACAGCGCATGCAACTGTACAAAAGGTCATATGAGCGCCAAAAGGTGGATGTCAACAGAGAAGTCCTTACAGGGAATCAGGCTTACTGTGCTCACCTCTATAGCCTCAACAGCACAAAGTCTGCTTCGACTATCAAGGCACCCCGGAAATAGCCGGTCACAAGAGTGTGACAAACGTATAAAAGAAGTAGAGGAAAATGACGATAGTAAGGATTAGGAA